ATATCTGATCTCGGAACCTCCATATTGTTGACCTGTAGGCACGGTCTTGTCAAACAGCAGATAGGTCAGTGGTTATAGTTTTTGACTTGTATTTATTTTAACATTTCCATCAGTCTTTAATCAAGAGACAAAATAAATTTACTTGCAAAGTAAACTTTGGAGTTTGGGTCATGCAACATCAATGTCTTTCTCACTGTTTCCCCAAGATCCACCTCTGCTTTGTTTCCCTGAGATGCACAGAAGTCATATGGAGTAATGGGTTCTAGATGTAATAAGACACCAGCACACAAAACAAAGAGCAGTTAAACCTACCTGGGAATCCTGCAGCACTAGACAGTGACTTTAGACAATGAAGTAATCCATCATAGGGGAACACCTCAGTCTTTAATATCTTGCCACCACCTCCCTTTTCCTCCTTTCGCAACAGAGGAAGAGTTAACACTTCATTTCAAAGCAAAATCTTGACCCATGTGGTGGGCAGTTTTTCAGGGCAAAGGAGACTCTCAATAGAGTGAGAGTGAGCAAAGACTGAATCATGGAATGTGAGACCTAGAAGGGACAGAACAATGCAGGTAATACATTGCTCTTTGCAAAGTTCCAGTGTGAAGAGTAGTTTTTGATACCTGTGATCCATGTTGCGGAAACCCTTGACAAGGTTGAGTTGAATGTCAACAACAAGTGAGGGATGAGCTGGATCCTCGTCATCAGGAATAAGATAGAAATCTATATCTCCCCAGGTCAGAGCTTCATTTGAACCATGATAACAAGCTGATTCAACAACAGAACCAGGACGAGCAGCAGAAGAAGCAGAGAAGAGGATAAGGAATGCCATTTGCAGGCAGGTTCAGTGAGAGCAAAAGATATTTGTGGCTGAATGAAGAGTCTGCATGATGATTTAAAAACAATGAGGTTCAATATGCTTTAGTGTCCTGATCTTAGTAGAAAGCATCACAGCCCCCTGCAGTTCCTTGGACAACATATAGGAACACAGTTGAAAGCACATTTCTGAAGTGGGATGAACGTTGGCATAGTGAGGCCAAAGTGCAAGGAAGGTGTACATGTAGCCCCTCAGGGTTTTGTAACAAATGAATGTGGAGGCATCTCTACCTTGAAGTGCAGATGCCAAGTAGCAGACAAAGTCCTTTATGTATTCTGTAGAATATGAGTGAAAATGACTGCATATAATCAGATGTAGACATACCTATCGAAGGCAAGGGTGTTCCTATGACAATTTCTGCAGGCTGGGCTCATTTCTCAGACCTGCCTTCTTCAAAAGTTTTTTGAACATACACTGCAAAGTCTCTATAATGACCTTTTATGATATCATGATTATGAATAGTTGGACATGCCAACTGCTTGTAGTGGTGAACATCACGACTAGACTTGAAATGCTCTTGGAGCGCAGATCTATTATCAAGGTGCTCCCATAGGATCTCCCAGTTGGAACATTTTGCTTTGTAGGTGATCCCAGAGGGTGCAGCCATAACAGTAGAAGAAGAGAAAGAGGCAGAGGCAGAGGAAAGAGAGAGAGTTGGAACATGAATAGTGATTACATCAGCGAATTCCCTGCTCAGGACATGATCAGGCAGTCAAGTAATGACATCACTGCAAGGGGAATGACCAAAGGCAATATCCAAAGTTATAGCTCAAGAATTTCTCTGAAAATGGAACCGGATGCGCTGCACTGTATCTCAGGCCATACCCAGCTTTGAGGTGGGTAGTTCATTTTTGGAGCAAGTCTTGAGAATCAACTTTGAGTCCTGATTGGTAAAGCATCCAACACACGTAAAATTGCGAGCAGTAGTCAAGGGTTTCTGCTCCTGGGCAAGTAGGGTCTGAGATGTGTAAAGCAAAGCAGGAAGGACCAGAACACTGCAGTAAAGATCATCCATGCTCGAGGGCTCTGCTGCTGCTCTGCTTTTGTCAGTACTATGGTCTGGGAATTTTGAACCAGAAGGGTGCAATTTGATTGAATGACAAAATGTCCAAATACCCTGTATACAGGAGCAGGTGTAACAAATCTGGTCATGGGTGACATTGAAGGTACATAGTAAGAAAATACACACAATTGGTTAATTCTTGTGTGAGCGCAGGTTCCAGTATGATGTATGGCTGCATAACATATCCACCCAGCGGGGTCATTTCAACAGTAGTACAGGTACTCATTTTCCCTGGCCCAAGAGTGACAGTGGTGAAGCAAAAATTGGAACATGTGAAAGCACATGGGGACCACATGTGAATGCAATTTTGGTTAGGATTGAACAATTGGGAAGGTTTACAGATCCTAGTGGAAACCGAGGTCACAAGTTCGAGAGTTGCAGGGAGCAGTTGCTTTTGTTTTTCACTTAATGAGTCTAAATGTGATAAGTAGTCAGAAGAATCAAGGGATGAAAGTAAAAGCCCACCATGATATGAACTCCAAGTACTGATCAAACTTTTCAAGGTATTTTCCATATTTGCATTCCTGGGAGGTAAAATTTGCTTGAATCTGGGTGGTCACCTTCTCTGAAAGAACCCTTCCAGTGCAGAGATGGATGTGTTCACCTGGTTTGGTCATTCTCAATGTACTGTTAATACATCAATAAACAAACATAGATAGCAATAGAAGTTCATATGTGAGGTCTTTTGAGCAATGAGGACATTTGTTGTGGTCATTGGGTCTTTTGCTGGGAGAGAATTTTTGAATGATTATCTATTCCAGCTGCACAATAAGAAAATTGCCCAGTGTGCAACAATTGGTAACAGGATCACCACTATTGAGATTATTGACAAAACTTAGAAATGAAGATTTGACCCTATGTTTATTGTCATCTGAGCCACCAGCACTCATGCCTGACACTGGCTTGATCTGATGTATAGACAAAGTTTATATGTTAGTATTGTGGATTGTACACCAGATCAAACATTTGGCAGATAGCAGCTTTGTCAAAGAATTTTTGACAAGCTTGTTTGACATGCAGATCTAATTCATGCAAGTATATAAAACAATATGTTAAAGGCTTTGGCTGCAATTTGACACAACTCAATGATTTGTTTTTCAACTTTCAGACTGTTCATTACCTAGCAATTGCCAAATCTTGTTCATGGCCTGAACACTTGAATCTTGGAACCAATATGGGCCAAATAAGAATGATTAGATTCAAATTAAATGTTTTGTAACTTATTATAGTAGTTTCCTTGTGGTCCTGAACATTTATTTTATTAAATTAATTGTGTTGAAGGAACGGGCTCAGTAGGTCAAAGAGTACCTTACCATAGGAGTCCCGTCTGGAGATTCTAGTCTCCTAAGTATACCTATCTATCATCTCTCCTTTTCTACTTATTGAAACAACCCATATGCTGCGCAAGATCAGTTGTTATGGACATTGTACATATTTATACGTACCTTTCTTATCTTCTCCCTCAGTTCTTCGATATCTATTTGTGTTGAGCTGAGGGTTAGTCTTATATCCTATTATACCTGTTTTGAAGCTAACTATCTTATTAGGATATTATCTAAATACTTCATTTAACAGGTACTTTAAATATACAAGTTCTTCGACATCTATTTGTGTCAAGCTGAGGGATATTATCTAAATACTTCATTTAACAGGTTATGGGTCTTGCCCACTGCTGAAATACTACTCAATATCAAGAAACACCGTCACCTCATCCTTGCATCCTGAAACCTTGATATGGCTAGTAACGGAGCTATACCACCTCCGATTCCAGAGGTTTCCACAGACCTAAAGTTTGGTGGAGGAGTCAAAGTTAGCTGGGCTCCCGTCAAAAGAAGGACTGTAAACTTACTAAAGACCCAAGGCCTGCTTGGATACACCGACAGGTCCATCCCTAAGCCCCCAACTGACATTGATTTTTTAAGAAAAGCTAAATAAAAGTAAATTTACATAAACTATTTATGGAGTAACAGAGAGTAACCGAGTGAGATGAGAAAAAGTAATTGTGACAAAGGGTCACAGTCCCGTGATATCCCGTGCTGGTCACAAGAAATCAATACAATTCAACTCAGTGTTACATTTGGCCAAATAAGGCGGAACTACTACCATAAAAGGAAATTAAAATTGTATGGAGCAGCGTATATAAGGACAATACTTCCATAACCTACAGCCTCGTAATTTCTTCAACTTGCATACCATGTGTTTAGTGCCCAGTTTTACAAATCCCTTGGGTTGTTTCAGGTAGATGTTGTGTGTGTAAAAAGAGATGTTGAGAAATGCAGCAGTGAAGTTGACTTGTAATATAAACAGTTTGAGTACCACTATAATCACCAGTGCTAATCGCACAGATTTCATCTGTGCTGCTCCACCATAGGTCATGTCACATTCCCAAGGTATCTACATGAGGGAACATGTCTCCTGGTGCTGTGCCCCATGGTTATTGGTGGTTCTCAAGTTCCTGGCTCACATCCTTTTATGTCTATTGCCCTCCTAGGGATTTTCCTAGACCTGTCAGGAACCTCCCCAGGAGTCTTCCTTAAGGTTTTCATACTTCTATTAGGTCATTCCAGTCCTCGAGTGCAGTCCCTGTAGCTCCCTTTGAGCTCCAGCTTGCTCTTAGCATGCTACACCATAAACTACAAATACCCAATTCTATGTATAAGACCAACTCTCACCCAGGTCTTACAGTACAATCATCATGTGTTGGCATACAGAGTGTGTTAACAAGAAAATTAGTAAAAACCTTGTACATATTGTGAGCAGTTGATTCACAGCATGTCAAGTGAGAATGTATTTGTATTCAAATCATTGCTACTGCATCATACAAGTGCCTCAGACAAGAGGGGAGGCACTATTACTAATTTGGAAAGAGTGATTGACCCCATAGTACAGAGGGGCCAACTGTAAGGGGGCGTTTCATAGGTCAGGGTTTTACTGTATGCCCAACAGGTTTCAGTACGTAGGAGTTTCCGGGGGCATTTAATTGAATCTGTTTACAGAAGTCTAATCCATGAGGTAAGAAGAGACTTTATTTTTGCTTCTGCTTGACAATTAGGGATCATAGCTTCCTTAGCTCAGTCGGTAGAGCGCGAGTCTCATACTACTTACTGTGTGCGGGGCATCAATCCTACAATCTCGAGGTCGCAAGTTCGAGACTTGCAGGGAGCAGTGAAATTTTCCTTTTTCTTACTTTGTTCTTTGCCGCGCAATGGGTTGGGGGGAACGTTTCTAGAAATTGCCAAAAAATTCCGCCATCCTTGTCCGAAATAGTGTCATCGAGGCCGAAAATATAGCGTTATTTAGGCAACTATGCTGGACAGGTTTCAGTATGTAGGAGTTTCCGAGGGGGGGCTTTAATTGAATTTGAGAAGCTGTTCACAAAAGTCTAATCAACGAGGCAAGAGACTTAGGCTTCTCTTCTCCTCTCACCTCTCACCGCACGTTTGAGTCTTGCAGGGAGCAGGTTGTTTATTTTGCCATGTAAAACGTCGATCACAACGTCCGCCCAGAATGCTTCCATTTATTTGATATCAGGTAATAAATAATATTGAAATCAGGCAAGGTCAAAGCTGAAAATATCGAGATATATGCGGTCACTGTGCTGAAGAGTCAGCACATATTCCATAACATCGAGGGTAGTCAGTATTTTTGGGTGGCCCTTCTTCAGTCGCAGGGTGTTCACCTTCACAGGCGTGGCAGGGCCAGTACAGGCAGTGACTCAAAACGAAATCATGTGAATTTCATACATGCCATCGATAAGTGAACGCTAATCATAACAACAGACATTCGACATGGAAAGTGTAGACTGTAGAAGCGCCATGTAATGCTTCTGATGATAGCACTTCCCACATACGCCAGCTATCGCCACCAATCGTGAGCTTCGAGTTGAAGGTCAACTCTATGATATGAGGCGCCTTCAGGGGAGCTTGAGGGTACTTACAGTTTACTGCACGCATGCAAGTTAACAGCTGACTGAGTTTGACGCGCGCCACAGGTACTGGCGTTCAAGGATACATTTTGATAACTCGTGCAAGGACAGAAAAAGCATATGAAAGCTTCATACCTACTAAAAAAATCATGCGACCCTCAGAAATTGGTTGGAGCGGCCTAAAATTGGTCAGAATTCACCGGTACGCCTCGGGGCAGAAGGCGACTTGCAATCGAGGCTCCTGAACCAATTATGAATAGCGAACTGTGAGACAGACTACAGCAGACTGTGGTCACAGTTGTGACGTTGACGGAGAGATATCCCCTGCATCAATAACATCTAGACTATTAAATTCCTTCCTCATCGACATTGGATCATCCGGGGCATGAAGTTTGAGCCCGTGTAGGCGACAGCTAATCCACTTTGCTCGAGTCATGCTCATGCCCTCAGGGATACTTACCGGAAACTCCCAGAATTTTTCATGCGCCGTTGGATGGTTGGCGATGGCGATGGGATTCCTTCAGGCGTCCGCATGTATTCCGCATGCTGTAAGTATACACCCGCAGTCACTTATTCGAACCGAATTTCCGCCGTGCAGGATTATCTACAACAGAAAAAGACTCAGAGATATTACCGTCGGTGTACAACAAGATGCACAAGGTGAACTTCTTACGAAGGAGATAAGGGTTGACTGGCAGACGACCTAGGGCTGGTCTCAAGTGCCTCTGGGTGGATTTGCAAAATACTACAAAAAATACATGCGATACATTTGATGGATAATATACAGCCCAAAGCATGACGAAGAGCGAGGGAATCCATGGTCCAAAAAGTGTAGCGAAAGCAATGGCTGTATGTAGCGCTAGCATTGCACAGTCTAAAACAACCGCAATTGAAGCAGCACACGGTACGCGCTAATACCCGCTTCGGATGATTACGTAATTGATTGTCATCATAGAGTTCCATAATGGTTAGGAATATGACCATACGGGGACGAAAATCTCGAAGGACTCAAGTCTCAAGGATACCAAAATTGGAAAAGGATCTGCGTTGATCTGTGTCACCGACGGAAAGCGTTCGAGGGAGAACTGCCCTGAAACCCGGTTGGGGATGTACCTGATATGGCAGATCCTAGTGACATAGGAGAGGAGGGAGGCGAGGAATTTGACGAAGTCGAACAAGGTCGTAGTGGAGGGGGGAGAGAGCGAATATCAGACTGTTTATATCGATAAGGGAGTGTGTGGCTTGAATAGCGGTCATTAAAATCCGATACCGGCTGAAGTCGATAAGGAGAATGTCCCCGATGGGAGTACAACGGATTTGGACAACCATCTTCGTCCATGAGCTCATCCTCTTCAAGTAATGACTCGGCATCTGACTCTTCGGAAGCTTCGCCCATGTTCAGAGCAAATGATTCACTCTTATTATGTCCTTGTGTGAGAAATCCGAAGGAGACGTCCCGTTGTACCGAACCGCGTGTCTCGTATGAGGGAGGATGCATGGGAATGTCTGTGCGTAAACCTGTGGAAGATCTAGCTCCGCTGGAGGTATTCACCGGGGGTGACACACTAATACGACGTTTCCGTCTACGAACAGAGGCGGTCATATTGGTCTCCTCTTTATTTTGCGACCGATTATTCAGAGGATTCGTGTGGTTCCTGTAGTGCCTGCGCATATTCGAGTTGACATTAAACTCTCGACCGCAATTAGGATACGGGCATCGAAACGCTAAAGATGAACATCAGATAGGTGATGAATATTGAATGGCCATGACTTACGGGTGGCACCTGTGTGAGTATTCATGTGAATGCGGAGGCTACTCGGGCGGTTGAATCTTTTGTGGCAAGTGTTGCATACATGTTTTTTGTCGTCGCCATCGTCGGATACTTCATCCGAAGAATAGGTGACGGGGTCTGAATCTGACGGCAACGATGAAGGTGCATGAGGATGAGAGGTCCTCGCAGAAGCCAGAGACGGTTGAATTGAGGAAGAGCCACTAACTGGTCCTGGCAGAGGGCTGGGGTTGACACGAAACGCGGGCGCAGAACTGTTGGGATGGTCTGACACTCTGCTAGGACCTGGAGTGGCAGATGGCCGGTTCGATAGTGTGGCGCTCGACGCGATGTGCAGCAGGGATGCAGATGAAGGGTCTGAGCGTAGCACATCGAAAGAATATATCTGAGAGTCAGTACGCGAGTCGTTCAGGTGGAGTTCCCGATGTAAGTGGTATGGTATGTGCGAGTGCTGTGAAGGCTGTCAAAGAAAATTATGAGAAAGGGTGACATAGGCATGCAGTAGAAGAAATTGCCACTGACAAAAGCATTGGATGTGGTTTTAGATATTCCTGGCCGATGACTGGGAGAGATTTTGAGGAGATGTTCTGAAGTTAGAACGAGGTCAACACGATGAACCACGCGTAGAGAACACAAGACTTACCCGGGAACATCTCATGAATGCTGGGAAGAGATACGGACAAGGGGGGAGCAGAGGTGGCAGCCATTTAGATGAACGAAGAACACGGATAGTCAATAGTGGGTGGGTAGCCAACGATCACAAGGATCTACTCTTTATACCGTAGCGGTTATACAAAAAGAGACCGAAGGCCCCGAACTTTAAGGCACTTAGCGCTCTCATTTCCTCCGGATCGTGATCTAATTGTAGCTAGTCAAGTCCTTTTATCCCGAGGGAATAGAGACACGTTTTATAGAAACCACGTACGTTTCGCTGTTCTTCTGGCAATTTGGAAGGTCCAAGCCACTCAAACGTAAACTGAGGAGGTGTTAATAGGTGTTAACCCGAGGCGCTGTGCCAGTGGATGAAGGATCGGCGTGAAAGAGGCTACAGCTGCAAAAGGCAACACGCCTCGTGCAAACTTTTGCAACGTAGGCATTGAAATAAGTTAAGTGCTACATAGATGACAGAAAAGAATTACAGACCTGACAAAATATTTATTCATCTGCATATATCGTTCTGGTCAAGTCATCTGCATTCAAACATATGTCAGTTTTCATATAAGTTGAATTACTTGTTATGGAATTTACCAAGAAAGGAAATAGGCGACAAGGATTTGCGATACGTGGAATCAGGACCAATTGAAACCGCGGGGACGGACCTGCCAGTGCGATGGACCGATGGCCAACTGCTTGCATGAAGTTCTTCATGAAAAGTCTTCGAAGGGTTCACGTGTAGGAGTCGCAGGGAAGCAGCTTCTTCCGCTGTCCACAAGAGGAACGCAGGCTGAATCTGAACCGTCGGACTTGCTTCATTACATGTGAGTATAGATGTGAGTAGTAACGGGAAATCGGCTGATATTCTTATAAGCCGTTGGAGCGTTGAGGAATTTGACGCAGCCCGGCCGGGACACCTACGTTTATTGAAGCCTGGTTAAAGCTCTTAGGATGGTGTTTGAGGATATTCCATGGATAAGGGTCGAGTTTTTTTTTGCATACCATGTAATATTCAAAGCAAAATATATAATACCCTGAATTGAATAAATTTGAGACAAACCGGCGAGAATGCATGATTCTCTTCTGTAATGGATTTCCAGGGCATTTTCATCACGGTATGTAGTTCCGCACTAGATACCTGCCTCGTTCTCGAACTTCTGGCGTCTGAATTCTATTTGTTGGTAGCAAGAGCCTTTATTATGTGGCCCGAAGTCTTCGCTCGAGAGAGATCGACAAAGAGAGAACAAATTTCCCAACGTTGAACTAGTGGCGGTAAATTTGAGAATGACCTATATCATAACCTCTGCTGGCATTTGTGTGATGAAGTATATAATGATACATCATAGCCACTCTTTAGACGAAGGCCAAAGTGGGTCATACTGTGTATGAGATTGGCGTGTGCTACAGAAAACAACCTTCTCTTCCATTAGTTCGGGACGGCAATCCTGACGATACACTTTATCTGCCGATCAGCCTAAACAAATTTCCTTGGACTACGCGGACCCACGATCTTGTACACAAAAACCGGCGTATACACTGTTGGTGGTGTTGGTGTTGAGAGACCTATTCAAGCATCGCTGGGAGCAAATCGCGAATACAAGGTTCCACCTTAGTCCCGACTTGGGTGGAGTGTTTACTTACGCGAGTACAAACGTTCACGATGGCTTTCCTATAAGATTTTCGGTTTCGGACGAAAGAGACTCGATTTATACACAGCGCAATTGAACAGGTTTTCCAGAAGTACTCTGATCTTACGATACAGAGAATAACACGATAAAGTCGGGCAACGAAAGTGG